TTTTACATAGGTTGTCAAACCTGACCCCTATCTCATTGTAGAAGCTGTTCCCCTGGAATATTACAGTTCTCGGTTATCCAATCGATTAATCCTCCAGACCAACTAAATTGGGGAAGCTGAAGCAGAAATGAAATTGTAGGGTGAGGGAAGGGGGGAGCTCCAGGAAGGCTTCGCCCTCTCAATTCGCTTTCACACTCGTTCAGTACTTATTCTCTCAAAACTAGTGAGGCAACAGATAATGTAGAGCCCATAAAATGAATTTTAGTAATCTAACTAGAATAATATGTGCACATAAATAATGATTTACTGATGCAAATCATTCAGATAATCTGGGAATTAACTAGTAAAACAAGGGTCCAGCTATATCATAAAGACATATTCCAGTTCATGAGCATGTCTGATTAGTCGTCGTTTAAATTTATCAGAAAAATAACTGAAAGAAGATATAAATTATGCCATCAAGTAGAAGTCTGAACTCATAAAATACACAATCAATAATAATATAATATATCTAACAGTGCAGATTCTGCAGAAAGAACAAGAACAGGAAAAAAAACTACTTACATATCTTGATCTCGATCATTCTCCAATGCAAGTTTTGCAACACATTGAAATGCCGCATCAACATTGTAATTCTCTTTCGCTGAAGTTTCAAAATAAGGTATATTACCCCGGGATGCACACCATTCCTTTGCTTTCTTCTCAGAAACCTATTTGAAGCAAATAATAATAATAATAATAATAATAATAATAAGAGCATCATTTCAACATAGAAGATCAATGGAATAAGAAGCGTAGTCAAACCCTTACCACTCTGCTGTTCCCACCATCTACATCCACCTTGTTTCCAAGTAGAATAAATGGAAATGTACTGGGATTTGATGGGTTAGCCTAGAGAACAGCGAAATGTTAACAGCACTTTCAAGTGGTATGCAAAGGATAATGAACAAAACTTGTATGTAATTAAAGGTACGAAAATAAAAAAAGAACTCATGGAAATTGTTACTAGACAAGATATTCATGGCATGAAAGAATAAAAGATAAAATTAATGAATAGTTTAAGCAATAACATGAACAAATGGGTTATCAACTTTTTAGCAAACCAAATATCATATATTGCTCCATCACTATTCATCGAACCATCATTCTTAACCAAAAAGGAAAAAAATATGAAACCAGTATAGTATAATTCAGCTCAAGATAGATTATGCAAAATTGATTATAAAATAGAAGGCTTGAATAAACAGTAATGTCCATGAGTATTGGTCATATCATATAGGTTTCAGCATATACATCTTATCTAGCCTATGCCGGCTGATGATATGACACCGATATTGGCTAAAAATAGCTAGTACATATTGATATATAGGTTTCAGCATATACATCTTATCTAGCCTATGCCGGCTGATGATATGACACCAATATTGGCTAAAAATAGCTAGTACATATTGATATTGAGCAATAAAGACCAACAGAAGCTGACAGCATAAACGTAAGGTACAAATATCAAAAACCTTTATTGTAGTTTTGTGTTAAGGAAAGACAAAAATAAAAATAAAAAGACCAATAGATGCAATACTTGTGTTCGTACTGAGATATTTGATATACCATTACTTGTGATTCGTAATCATCCCAAGGCGAATATGGATACCAATATACCACACTTGATGCTGAGACTTCAAAGCTTGCTAAAATCACATTCTAAAATATGCGAAATATCTTCATCCCCAATTTTTTTCTCTTTTGAGAATTGGTAGGATTGACATGACCGCATATTATGTCTCTCCAAGAGAACTAGAACACAACATTACACACTGGAGAAATTCAAGCCATACAGGATATAGGCTATCTGGTTCTTAGACTGATGAACAGAAAACACAGGTGAAGCCATCCAAATGACTGACCGCTATCATTCATAACAATCTCGTGGCCTAAAACTTTTATGAACAAAATAATAAAATATTTTAAGTCATGCAAGAAATGGTTGCAGAGTGATAATCAAGAATAAACCAGAGATTTTAAAAAGAGAAAAGAAAATAGCAACCATCTGATCTTTCTCTTCATTAAGTAGGACCTTCTCAGGATTCGGGTCAGTCACTTCCTCCCTTCTACCTAACATTATAATTATATCTGAAAAATGTAGCAGATATTGGCAAAATTACTTCAAACAGACTGTACCAAAAAAGTTACACAAGCAATAAACATTTTTGATTGAGATGGAATATTGCCCAGGGATCTCAGCTGGCCCTATGAAGTTTTATAATTAAGGAAAAAGTGGTAAATAGTACAAGGGTTATAACCTGACTCATAAATGTAAAAGCTATATTTAAGTAGTGTCACTCATAGGTAGAAGCAGTGATATCGATTCAATATGAGAAAATTCACAAAAGCTAAGCTATCGGTATTGGGAATGATGAAAGGCCTAGAGTAGCTAGACTTCGAGGGGCTGTTTGGTTCCCTGTTTTTGAGGGAAAGGCTCTCTTGAAAGTCTGTCAAAAGTACCAAAAGTGTCACTTTTTAGCAGGCTTTCAAGCAAAATCGCCTCTTTTAGAGGCGATTTTGCTGAAAGCCTGCCAAAGAAGTGACACTTTGACAGGCTTTCAATGGAAAAATTTTCTAACCAAACGGACCCTGAGTCTTCTATGATAAGTGAGCAGATCCTTGTGAACAGCACCATTAGCTATGAAGCGGGAAATTGATACTTTCTTGTCTATGTAAACTTGGCATACATTTCTAAGCTTGGCAACTGTCAAAACAAAATAATATCTCCTTTACGTTTCCAAGGACCCTTTATCATCCATCATTTCACAATCTATTACAACTTGTTACAATTAGGGCCCGTTTGGATAATGGAATTATTAGAAGTAAGAAGTAGGTTATAGAAGTAACTTTCAAAGCTATGAAGTTGGAAGTAGTGGAAATAGTATTTTTTTTATTTGTTTCAAATATTTTTAGAAGTAATGAAAGTAGAACTTCTTCCTCTTCATTTACTTTTTTTGTTTTGGATAACATTTGGAAATATTATTAGGAAGTAATTTTATCAATGAAAAGTTGTTAGAAGTAACTAATAAAGGAAATATTAATAAAAAAAATTATTTATGTCATAATTAATATGCATTTCAACTACTTCCGAGCTACTTCTAAGTATTGAGGATTGAAAAAATATTTTGGAAGTAAGGATGACACGTAAGCGCCACATAAGCATTTAGGGAAGTATTAGAAGTAAGTTTTTCAGAGAACCAAACACACTTTTTTGCTTGGAAGTAGCAGAAGTAGCCTCTACTTCTTTTACTTCAGCTACTTCACAATTACTTCCGTGCAAACAAACAGGCCCTTAGCGGATGTCTTATCCCCAAAACCATAACAAGCAATAAACATTTAAAACTACAAAATAACAATAATGAAACAATTAATGCATCATTGTAAGAGGAGGGGGGGAGAAAAACAAGAACTAAAAGTGGAATCAATAAAGAAAATGGGGAAAATATAAAGACGGAGAAAATAATTTAAATAAAGCTTGATATTATTTATGAAGTGAAACTCCAAAGGTCATGGTAAGTGTGGATTGACAGCCACAGAACAAGTCTCTCTTGTTCAGTTATATAGCAGGAGGGATGGGAAGGGTAGGGGTTGAGTAGGGAGGGTTGCTTGTTTGATGCTGTACTAAAAAGAAAGGTGAATTATTTTTATTTTAAGAATCTAGAAGATTAAGATGTTTGGTTTCACAATTTATCTCTTCCTTGTTTTAGTTATAGGTGCATTTACTAGACATATTTCAAGACATTTTCGTTGTGTATTACTAATGACATGGTAAAGAGAAGTTAAAGCTAGAAAGGTGGAGAAAACTCTCGAATATAAAAGATTTAGAACAAGTCGAACAAAAACAGAATACATAAAATGTAAGTTTAGTGAAAATTGTGAAAGAAACAACTGTATAGTAATTATTTGAAGGTCAAGAGATATATCGAAGTAAAAGTTTCGCTATTTAGGATGAGTAATTCATCAAGATGCTAAGTTTGAGTATCATGTGGTTCATCGAATGAAATCTGGAATGATTAAAATGGAAGCGAGCTTCCGGGCTCGTATATGATCATTAAACATGTATAAAATTGAAGAGAAGTTGGATAGAACAATTAGAAGACAAACAACATGAGCAAAATAATGAAAGTAATATAAATGAGAATGTTAGGATGGACCAATGGAGATAATAGAAGATCGCATTTTGTAGAAAATAGAAGTCGCACGAATTCAGGATAAAATGAAAGACAATCAATAGAGATGGTTTAACCACGTCTAACAGAAACTAGTAAACACACCAATTAGGAGATCTGATATGATTATACTTAATGGAATAAAGAGGATTAAAGGTCGGCGTAATCGAAATTGGTTCGAACTTTCAAAGCATTTAAGAAAGATATAATAATAATTAACTTAAATACGAGTCGCTCTTAACAAAACTGAATGGAAGAGTAGGGTCAGCCAATCCAAAAACATAGAACCCAAATGTAAGAAATAGATTAATGTAGTAGGTCCAGAATTTTGGGATTAAGGGTTTGTTGTTGTTATTGTTGTCATAGACCACATGGATATGGCCACGACTGGTGTATAGTTATGAATGAATGAGTTTGATAATATTACCCTATTAAGCACTCACCCCTTGTTAGAGCAACATGTTACATAAATAACAAAACATCAAGGTGAAAATAACAGTTTACTTAGGAGGAGCAAAGCACATCATCTGATATCCTGTAATCACCTAGAGATAAGCATAAACTCATTGATCAAAAGTTCAAACATATAAGGCACACACTATTAACTACATCTAACTTGAAATGTTGAATAATCCAATAGGATCAACTACTTTTGCAGCCTACGATAGTTATCCAAATGACGTAAAAGGAGAAAAACTTATCACCAACCTGTTTAAGAAACTCATCATGCCAGTTGTCAAGAGTGTCGAAAGACTTGAGATAGTTAACATCATATACAAGGACACAGCAATCTGCCCCTCTGTAGAATGCAACACCAAGACTGTTGAATCTTTCCTGTCCTGCTGTATCCCAGATCTGCCAATAAAACAGCAAAATTTTTAAGACCCAGATCCGTCTGCAAGAACATGCTGTGTAAGTAGGAACATGCACGCTAGCTCACTTGCAAAGTCACGAGTCTATCATCAATCTGAAGTTCTTTGGTGACAAAATCAGCACCAATGGTAGCTTTGTACTGTTGACTGAATTTATTGTGTACATATCTAATTTGAAGGTCAGGAAGACTAATATGGAAAGTGACAAGAAAAATCTTATAAACTGTAAAGAGAAGCCATGAAGGAAAAAATTTCACAATGCAAGCGCTTATAAAATTCACAATAAAAAGGATTAGTGCAACAAACCTAACATAATTGCATAGAAAGCCAACCAGGTAGCATATATTACATGCAAACATTTAATTTACAACCTACTGCAATAAGCAATCAGGTACTCAACTAGAACCCTCAATACCTTTTACGCAAAAAGTTTAAGAACCATAACCAATTTCATTGAATGATGCACCCAATTCGATAACAACTAACAAATCACATCAGATGGAAATGCTAGCGGGGCTACTACAACAAAAATTAAAGAACAAGAAAAAGATATAAATTCTAGAACAAGAACAAGAACTTTGCAGCTGAACAGTAGAAATGAAGGCCTATCCACTCCCTTACTCCCTCAGTCAAAAATCGAGAAATGCAAAGGAATTCAAGACCCTATCCACTCCCTTACTCCCTCAGTCAAAAATTTGCATTATGAATCTAAACTTTGCTAAAACGGAAGATAATTTATCAAATTCTGAACTGAAAGCGAGTAATTCGAAACCCTAACAAGTTCACGATGCCTAATCAAGAATTTCCATGAAGAATCAAGTTACGGAAATCCGCGAACAATTCCACTACACCGCATCGAGAAATTTTCACGCCAAAACCCTAAATCGAACTCAAGAAGCTCCCAAGGATACTGATTCATGAGCGAAGTCTTCCCAACTCTGCAAGTAACCGAGCAAGGGTTCAGTATCTCGATCAAGATCCACCACAAAAACCCTAGAAATCTGAACCAAATCGATCTAAATCAGGAGAGAGAAAAAAAAGGAAAAAGGATTAAAAAAAATCTCACCCGCTGTCGCCGAGAAAGATGACTTTGAGCAGCGTCCGCCTCCGCGTCGACATGGCCGACGAGATCGAAGCAGAGCGGGAGGGTGGAAACGAATTAGAGAGGAACTGGAGGGGTTTTTTGACAATTTTTTTGGGGGGCGGTGCTGCGGGCTCGTCGCTCTCGAGGCTTCCTCAAGAGGCGCCAGCAAAGCGTTTGAAAAAACAAGAGGTGTTGCTACTGCTGCGCGTTGCTGGGTCCTACCGAGGACGCTTTTTTCTAGTATTTTCTGCGTAAAGTTTTTAAGGGCCAGTTTGGTTCATTTCTTTTTAGAGGCGTTTTGGCCAGAAAGCCTGTCAAAAGTGCTCTTTTGGCAGGTTTTCTGTCCACTACCCAAGGCAAAAGAAATGAACCAAACGGGCCCTAAGTGCTTTACTCCGCTGTCTGTACTGTGTTTTATTTATTTTATCGCAAGCACTGCTGAGTGCTGACCCTAAATATTCAGAATAAAAGTTTTTGTTAATGTGGTTGTCCCTTTTTTTAGTGCTTTATTTGCGGTAAAGGTCTATTTTTTTTAAGTAAGGATAGGGTTGTCCAACCGGGCAGGGCCAAATGGGTAACCCGGACCCGGGCCTGGTTCGGTTCGGGTCGGGTCCGATTCCAGGCCCAGTCTCGGGCCAGCCCTGTTTTTTCCTTTTTTTTCTTAAAATTTATTTTTTTTTAAAAATAAAATTTTAAGAGTAATAAAAAATAAAATATGCAAAATTTTGATAATAAATCAATCATATTATTAATCACTTGTAATTATACAATTTATAAATATAAATATCATAGAAATTAAAATGATAAAAATAAATTATTTATTATTAATCACTAATAGTTACAATTTTTTTGGAATTTATCACATATCAATAGATGAATACGTACATCCAAACTAGGTTGGCACCTACTCATCTATATTAATATCATTTGTAACTCTTTTCAAAAATAATTTATCACAAATTTACAGCTAATAAATAAAAATTACAAATTAATGAGTACTTTCTATACTTTATCTCTATCTCCTATTCCCAACTCTTCAAGTTTATCTTCAATACTAGCCATCTGATCAATGCATTAACTTCTCTTCTCGGACCTCCACTTATCTTGTAGGCACATTGTCGCATGTACGGTTGACGAATCTAGCGATGTTCTGTGGTTATCGATCAAACGTCCTGACATGCTGAAGGCGGATTCTGAAGCTACTGTAGAAATATGCATTATTAGTAAGTCACGAGCCATGATGAAAATATAGAATATGAAACTATTTCATATACTCTCCACCATTGCAAAATATCAAAATTATTATTTTGATCATTAACTAAAGGTGCAGTTAAATATTGTTCAATTTCAGAGACTTTCCTTAATGACCCAGATCCAGATCCATAGCTACCAGTTAGCCTCACTATCATTAATTGCCTATCAAAACTCTTACCTTTGCCCCGGCTTGAACTCGTAGAAGCAGAAGCAGTAAATTGATGTGTACTTACACTGTATCTACTTACGTACTCATCATATAATCTTTAAAAATAATAATTAATAGTGTTATGATGAGTAAGAGCAGTAATAGTCTAATAATCATCATCAGTGTCTATTGTCATGTTCTCATACAAAGAATTTAACAAATTTTGAAGGCCAATATCCTTCAAACATGGATCAATAAGAACCCCAAACTAAAAATAATAGGTATATGTGATGCCCCTGGGTTCACACAAGGCTGCAGTCCAAGGTGAAACCAAGAATGTCAAACCCGCCATGCACCACACCGTGCAATAACATGTTTCACCATCACAATTAACATCTTTCTAGTAGAGTCAACAACAGGTGTAGGTACAAAAGCAAGTAAAAGATAATACAAGAAATAACTGATAAAATGATAGTGGTCACATTAATATCTTATCATCCAACATACAGAAATACATAGTAAATGTCTGAATAGATAAACTGAAGTTCTCACAAGAATCAAATACAAAATGTCTGAGTAAGGAAACAAGGCACACCGCCTTTACAACATCTAGAATATAGTCCTCAAATATCTCACAAAGTCTACAGTGGAGTTCCAAAATGAAACATAACTAAAGAAAATAGATAGTTGAAGCTAAAGAGCATCGCCATCAACCTGCGACTCTCCGGGCACCTGGCTCATTACCTGAAATGGGGAGAGACAACGAGCGTCAAAGCGCTAGCGAGCAACATCACAACCAACCTCAAGGGAACATGGCTCGTTGTATAAGAAGATACAGATAATACATAATAAGTCTAAAATCATTGATCTTACTAAAGAGAATTTTAGTATTTAGAAATTTACAACACGAGCATAGGTACGTCAATCATTGATCTTACTAAAGAGAATTTTAGTATTTAGAAATTTACAACACGAGCATAGGTACGTCGAGCGAAATAATCCAAACAAGGAAACCCTCATGTATATACCTTGTATCTCAAATTGTAAATCCCTAAACACCAAACACGAGGTTCTAGTACAGGAACAATAATAAAAGAAATACAACTCATCTCAGAACATAAATACAGTGTCATGTCATAGCCTACATGAGTATCATGTCATAACCTACATGAATATCATGTTATAACCTACATAAGTGTCATGTCATAAACTCATGTGAGAAAGTCATATACAGGGTTAAGAAATATGTCTGATACATGAACTATATACAGTGATTTCCAAACACATGGAACAGGTGGCAAATGTCCAACACGAGGACTAAAATGGATTATAGTCCAACACGGGGACTTCTATAGATTATAGTCCAACACGAGGACTGTGCAACTGTAAAAAGTATATGCGAAAAGATATACATATTCTAAACTCGCACGTGTCTCGATGTACATGTCTAAACTTGTGTCAAAAGTCAACTCACATGTACAGATAAATTACTAACATTGTAAACTAGTGCTAGATCATCGAGGCGACCCCAAAAAGCAACTCAAACAGATCAAGAATCTGTAAAACACCTCATCAGTCGACTGATGTGTCGACTGATGCCATCAGTCGACTCATATGTCGACTGATAAGATCAGTTAGAACAGACTCAGCTCACCAGTCGACTGGTCGGTCGACTGAGGAACTGAGAAAACAAAATCAGCCCGTCAGTCGACTGATAATAGAAAAATTCAGCCCGTCGGTCGACGGATCAGTCGACCGATTGACTGCAGAAACTCTGTACAGGTTGATTATCACCATAAAATTTATCTAAAATCATCATCATCAATCCCAAGCATAAAGATACTGATATTAACATGTATGAGCTAAAATGAAACGAAAATTTCATGTGTAAATACATAAACAAAACCCTAATCATGTGCATTCATATTTTAAAACATTTTTAAAACAAAACTCGTGTTAAAACCCTCATTTAAAACATTTCAGATCTAGATCTTCGATTCACAAAACGTTGGTGAGTTTTTAACATTCTGAAATAACATATCTTCCCACTATATGCTATAAAAATCATACATTTGTACAAAAATTACATTTTTGGCTCATCAAAACTCATAAAAATCATTTGAAAACGTTTAGAAATTAGGACAAGGTTGGGCGAGATGTTACTCGCCTCTGGGGTGATGAAAAACTCCTGGATCTGTGAGAGAGTGGTTCCCCTTTGCTGCAACGTGAAGATCTCGACGAAAATCCTCCGAGTTCTTCCCCAAATCACCAAGAACAAAACCTAGGGTTTGAGAGAGGGGAGAGGGGGCTAGGGTTTTCTCATATCTGAGGATGAGAGGGGGGTTTTCGGGTAGAGGAGAATATATATGAATAGCTAGACCCGACCCAAAACCCGAACCAATCAAAACAGACCCGAAACGTGGAAAAACTAAAAAACAGCGTATCAGTCGACTGATCGGTCGACTGATCTCGTCAGTCGACTGATCGGTCGGCTGATCTGGCAATTTTCCTGTTTTGTGCATGTTTTTCTTATTTGCAAAACCAACGCACAAAACTCTACACACATACCCTCATAACATCCCAAATAACTTGTTATCATGCACATCTATGACCTCAAGCTATTTATCATAAAAGAATTATTTATTACTAATAATTCACATATATTTGTTATAAAAAATTACGGGGTTCTACAGCATATGCCTAAACTACTTATTAAATTTACTTTCCATTTGAAAAATCATATTTCCAAAAATAATATCCATACGATAATTAGTAAAAAGAAGTTTGAATATTTAAAACTTGTAAAGCGGCTTGAGTAATATTTGAATAATAACAATCAGATAATAACATAGTAGGTTTATAAAAAAACTTGTAACATTTCTCTTACACTACATATAACTGTCCATTCATCATCAGTTATTCCTACTTACTACCAGAGCTAGAACTAGAAGCATAGAAAACAATAAAATTATTTATAATTTCTTTATACTCTATTGCTACATTTAATATTGCATAGGTAGAATTCCACATGTGGTCAACATCTTTTGGAATTAATCTGGGTTTTAAATTTTTTTTCTTTTACACAATTATTTTCATCTTTTAAGTCTTTGTTTAGAAGCATTATATGCATAAGCTACAAGCCTAACCTTTTCTATCATGAGTTTAATTTCATTAAATGTAATTTGAACAATTAAATTTAAAATATGGCATATGTATCTAATATGAAAAATATCATCATGACATGGCAATAACAAAGATGATTTGATATGATCTACAGCTTTGTTATTATTACTTGCATTATCTAGTGAAAGAGAAAATATTTTTTCAGAAAATTCTAATTTTGTAAGTTCTTTTAGTATTAAATTTGTAATATTAACACTAGTGTGTGAATCTTCAAATACAATAAAAGAAATAACTCTCTTAAACATTTACCAACTATTATCAATCTAGTGTGTTGTGATATATAAATAACCAGTTCGTGCTCTAGATGTTCAAATATCAGAAGTTAGAGAATATTTACAGTTTAAATTTTGAAAATAAGAAAATATTTTTGTTTGCTCCTCGTGATAATATTTTAAAATATCACGTTAACAAGATTGATAAATTTTTTTTAAAATGCAGGATAAAAACCATCTCTAATTATATCTTCAAATTCATCATCTTCTACTAATTTAAAAGAAAAGTTTTTATGAACAATAAACCTGATGAAGTATTTCCTGGCTCTAATTGCATCGTAGTTTCAAGAACTAAGGCTACCGGAGGTTGATGATTGGGAGAGCATAGATTG